GCACTCATTACGCCAATACGTTTCTGAATGGAAGTCGAATGCGAATGTCATCCCTCAGACGGGATTGATTAACGTCAAAAACTTTATCCCATAACCTTTTATCAACTCTACTTACAGCCATCGTCAATGACGTGTCCGGCGAGAAGTGCCCACCAGCATTGCAGTTGATCGCTACGCTTCTACTTTACGAGATCACCTCCTTTCTAAGAGAGACATTTCGAACAATCCCGCGAGCGAAAAATAATAAGGTAAGTATGCCTTACTGTTGATAATAACATAAATGAGATTTTTCTGTTATCATTGATGTTAACTTAATTTTGGCGTAATTTTTTTTTGTAAATGCTGTCTTTTTGTGGTGCTCACATTTCTTTTACATTGAAGGCTGCACCATCAACCGGCTGGGATAAGCTGCTGTCACATCGACGTTGGTCAATTCTCTCCAACACCTTCAACGCACAACAGACCGGCTCTGTGAGCAGCGTGGTGGATGTGAACTCGTCGATGCATTGTAACTCTTTTTCTTTTCAAAAATTCGTCTTCCAAAAGTCGTTAGATGAAAATTCTCAAAGCAGGGAAACAAATATGTAACATAGTAACGATCTCGTCAAAAGCTTGCTCAGCAGCACTCATCCGGGGGCGGACAGATTACGATAATCTTGAATTTAAAAAAAAGATAGAAGTGATCCTGCATGTTAAATTCAATTTTCCGGCTTTTGTGCACGGTTACAAGTTTTTTTGTGAGCAGTACTAAAAAATGTCTGATATGAAGTGGTCTAAGTTGGGGCAGCTTGTAGGACGGATTAGAACGTGGAAGAAGCCTCGCATTGAAAGTCTCATTCCACGGTTTCACCTAATTGTAAGGCGCACTTCGTCAAGTATTATTGGCGCAACACCAATGACGATAAGCGTTCAGCTGATATCGAGAATAAATGTTACTGTAGCTTCTAACTACTGGTTCTATATTCATTCGGCTTTTGCTTGGCTTTTACTGACCTGTATAGCATATTAACTATTTAAAGCATATCAACTATTTAAAGTTGTAGAGTAATACAAGGGAGTATACTTTGTAGTGAATGAGCGTGAGAGGCGAATCAGTCTGTCGACAGCCGAAGAAGATTCACCGAGAGGTTCGAAAGACACTATCGATGACACGGCAGTCGACAAGAAAGGTATCCTCTTTAATTTCTTTTTAGATGATGTTTTTCATGACCATGTGTAACTTAGCGGGCGGTCCAAGTACTTCTTGACCACATACCATATTTCCTGGGGCTGCTTTTATTGCAAAGGTTACCCGACATGAGACGACATGGGCTCATCCGAGAGAGTGGTCAAGACAATCGTAAGAAGCAGCGCTAACGGGTATAGAGCGATACCGCCTTTTTCGAGCCTACCGCATACTTTTGATGCCAATATTTACATCAGAATCGTCTACATTTCTCTTCTCACGGAAACAAAAGTAACCTTAGATGCTGTTGTCTTCAAGCCTTCTATGAGGACTCTCAAGCGAACTGATCACAGGTTATTCTATGAGTACTGGATACGAATACCTATGAACAACTCTGATCATTTTTTTTAAAACTCCTCTATTATGCAAGGAGGTGAGCCATACAGGCCATCATCCCGCATTATTGTGTGTCCAAGACTTGACTTATGTAGCATGCTATTTCACTTTACTCTATTCAGGGGCATCCCCGAAAGGCAATGGCATATTTTGAGTTGATTACTACCTACCTCTACAGTATTCGAAGCCGTACAGCACCTGTAGTCTAAATCGCGTTTCTCTGTGAACTTTAAAACGGGTGGAATATACAACAGACTTTCCCGGATAAAATGGTGCACGGCTAATTCTACTGTTTGGGAAAGAGTTCACGGTTGAATCATTTTTTTACGTAGGGGCTGAATCGCGCTATTTGTCTCAGAGCTCGCAGCAGCAGGTTGGCGCATTAAGCCTTTGATTGTCTTGACCGTCCCTTCTTTGGATCGCGATTTTGTAGCTTTAACATTCATCAGTAATGTAAGCGCTAGTCAATAGTGAACTCGGCTGTAGAAGGGCAACTAATCTGATCAGTAGATTTGAGTAGGCATGCTTATAGTTCCTCCGAACTTGCGACAGTATAGGCAGAACACTCTCTGCCCGTCGCTGTGAAATGACATTCTTGGTTTACAACAGCTACTTTTTCTGTACTTAATTGCTCGTTTGTTTTTACCAAAGTCGTTTCAGGAGATTTTTCCATTTTCTTTTCTTTTTAAACTATTTTTTCTTATTTTTTTATGTGTTGGATTTAGCTTGCTGCTGTGTGTACGTATGTGCTTCGCAT